AAAAAAAAAAAAAAAAAAACTCTAAAACAAGTAGCCAGCGCCATGGTGAGCGGAATGAAAAAAAAGTAAAATGGAGAGGTGCGTAGGAAGGGAAAGAAAACACTGCCTCCTAGTATTAGCTAACACTTGAAGGCTCCATCAAAAGCGACTTCTTCTTCAGGGTGCTTTCCCCACCACAAGCGGGATCCCCCCTTTTCTCATAGGAGCTTCTTAAACAGGAGGAGGAAAATATCGTTCGCATTCAAGTTGTTGATATCCACCTGTTGCACTTGTATCTCTTTGTCGTCGAATTTGATCCGTTGGTTTATTTCTGTGGGTGAGAAAAAAAAACAAAAAAAAAATGAAAAAATATACACACAAAAAAAAAAAAGTTTCGTACGTGGGGGGGGGGGATGAGAGGCTGTCTCCAAAATTGGTCACTCTTTGACGGACGCCCAAAAGGGGAATATAGCAACACCGGAAAAAGAAGCTCTCCGGTGCGACGCGCTCTTTCTCAGGAACCTACCCAGCAACTTGAAGAAGTGCTTGTTGTCGGGGATCTTCAAAATGAAAAGGCACTGGTTGGAAAGAGTCATCTCGGAGTAGATCCTCTTAACAGACTTACACCTCTGCACGAACTGTTGAATGTTTTGGTAGGCCAGCTCATAAATAGCAAACTTGAAAAGGAGAAAAAGGGAAATGTATTTATTTCTGTTCAGGTAAAGGTTGACATAAGAGGACTTGTCTATTATGAGGTCGAGGAGGACTCTGTGAAATTTCAAGTGGCTCAGTAGGTTATTTTTTTTTTTTTTTTTTTGGACGATGGGGCTGCAGGTTGTCTTTGCTTCTCTTGACTGTTTTGAAAATGCGAAACAGGTTATACAAGTTGAGTGCATTTTTTTTGGAGTTGTTCTCGACGAAGGAGATGGCGGCGTGGGCACGCGCATCATCCGTGTCGCTGCTACGGTTGTGGCTACGTTTGTTACTGCGGTCATTGCTACGGCTACTGTTACGGCTGCTGTTACGACTTTTGCTACCGTTTCTGTTACGGTTGCTGTTGCGCTCAGCGAGCGCCTTCATCACTTTACAAAACCTAACGCACGCGCGCTTGTTCGTACAGAAAAAAACCTTTATGTATTCATTTATCTTGGCATGGTCAATACCCTTGAGCTTCACCAGGAAGGAGTAATGATCCTGGAAGCCCCTAACCATATTCTGTGTGTAATTTTCATAAGTAATTTCGTTTTGATTAAACAGGTAGAGGTAATCATAATAAAAAATGTCTGTATATATATGAGTATAAATTGCAAAGCTTCTCGGAGCAAAATTTATCCTCAATATATTATCCTTTATGAATGCATTAATTATTCCTTCGTTAACACTTTGTATGTTTGACGATATAGGACACTCCTCTGTCTGTTCTTTGTTTCTCGTGAAGGCTAATCCAACTTGGTGGTTCAATAAGCTCTTTGTCCTTTCAGCATAATGAGTTACCCACTGAGACATTTGTTCCCGGAGTAGATATTCCATCTTGTTGTTGTCGTCTTCCTCACAGCGATCTGTCTGTTTGTTCATCAACAGTACATTCTTCAAAATTATATTTATATAAATTTGTGAGCAAAAGTCTATATTGTCATTTAGCTTGTAGAGGAAAATAATTGGATCGTTGCGAAGCAGGTTAATAATTAACTCCACCTTTTTCCGCATACCTCCACTGAGCTCGTTGCAATTTATATGTACGTCGCATCTCAGATTAACAGTGAGCATTAATAAGTTTATAACATACATAAGCTCCGCGTTGCTAAGAACTATATTCTTGTACGTTAAAATTAATTTTATGTGTTCATATATGGTCATATGTGGGATGAGGACAATTTTGTAATCACTTTCGTCTTCTGTCTCGGTCGTCTGCGCGAAGGCTTTTCGCTTGTCATCTGTGCGGTCGTCCTTGGGGCGTTCACCAGCAGCGTGATGGTCAGTAGCGTGCCCACCGATACGTTCCCTCCTCCACGCTTGCCCGTTGGCGAAGAAGAACTTGAAAAAGTAAAGCACATTCAGGTCGTTGTTAAATATGGAGGAAAATGTGTATATCTTGTAGGGCTTCATTTTGACGTTGATATCTTTTAGGATGTACTTTTGGTCTACGTGAAGGCCTCCGCTCGGGTGTTCATGGGGGGGGGGTTGTCCCTCTGAGCTGCTTCCCCTGCTATGAATTCCCTCATCGGATGATCCCTCCCCCGTTGATGCTTCTTTGCCTTTCCCATCTGGAATTGCAAAAATCGCTTTTGTGTTCGTTTCAGATATTTCCTCGTTGAATTTCCTGTACGTGTCTGTGGCGACGGTTCTTTGGGGCAATTTAAATATCCTGCTTGCAAATGTGAAAAGTTTGAAGAGGCCATTTTTTTCTGTACGTTCTTCCCTCTTGTACTCGCTGTTGGTAAGGTAGAAGTGTCTCACTGCGAATGCGTATTTTTGTGTGGAGCCGGGATTTCCCGCACTGTCGCTTGATTCATCATCGATGCTGCTCTGCACATCGCTTGGCTTCTCAATTGGGTCCTGATCTGCCCATTGATTGATAGATTCTCCTGCCGCTTCACTCTTCGCCTCGCTGCTCTCCTCCCCTCTGCGCGCGTTCTGGTTTAGGTTGTACAACTTATAAAAGATAAGCAGGAGGTACAGGGCGCAGTTAACGATAAGGAAGAAGAAATCCCCCGTGGTGTTAAAGAACGAGTTGGAGTCACTGCAAAATCCTTTGAGCGCATCTGTTTCTTCCATTCCACCCAATGTGTCCTCTCCCCCCCCACGAGAGAATAACATATTTCTGTAGTTTCCGTATGACTGTGCTCGATGTATGTTCTGGCCAAAGTAGCTCCCCGTCGTGTCCCTAATTAGCTCATCATCAATCTGCTGCATGTGACGTTTCATATTCAAGCACAAACTTCTAATATTGAGCACATGGGAAAGAGAAAACGAATCAAGTATACGAAAAATGCAAACGAAGATGTGTGAAAGATTCATCAACACTTCGTTGTTGTAGGCATACGAGAGGATAACCAAGACATATATCACAATACTAATAATTCCACAGAGGATAAAATTCACAAAGACAAAGAGGATATAACTGTGCTGGTAAAGATGCGAGAAGAGGGAGATGGACAGGAACGTGTTGAACCCGTACATCATTAAGAACACGAAAAAGGATGGAAGAACAAACTCACGATACTGAAACAGGTACAGAACCGAAAAGAGGAGGATGATGTAAATGAGGTAGTACATGTACTCGAGAAGGAGGATTTGCAGATAATGCACATATTTGTGTACGTTGAAATTTTCAAATATTTTCCTATTGTCTATTTCGTTACGCAATTTCTCGAAGAAGACGCAGAAGAAAATGACAATGGAAAGGAAGACGTACATGTTGATGTAGAAGTCTCGAAGGAAATATTCGTGGAACTTGATTGGGAAGGGCTCGTTGATCACGTCGATTTTGTTTCTTCGTGGTGGAGAAACTGGTGTTGTTGGAGGGGCTTTCCCTATGTCTTCCCATTTGGAAGAGCTTCCAACCCCGTTGAGCCTCTCCCCACCCGAGCGCTGCATTGCACTCTGGAATTCTGTCAATACGTTGAAGGCCGAATTGGTGTAGTATGCATATGAGTGTATAGAGGTGTAGTTGCAAAATAGGTTTACGTTGACTTCCACATCAGTGTTGTAATCCTCGTCTCCATTGTTGGTCCTCTTTTCGTTAATCTGAAATATGTAGGTACCCAGAGAAATATCTTTCTGCTGAGTTGACCTTTTACTCAGATATTTATGAACATGTTCATACATATTTTCTTCATTTATCTGCTCGTCTATGTAATTAATATTCTCGTTTATACAGTACTTCTCGAGAAGGGAGTTAATAGTGCTGTTGTAGTAATTAAAAGAGTTTGTTGTCACATCGCTTTCATTGTCGCTTCTGCTTCCATTTTGCAATGGGGAGGTATTTTTTATATGGTTTATTTGATTCCCTTTTTTGTTTTTCCATTTTCCTCCATGCCATTTATTTTCCCACTTGGAAGTGACCTGCCCCTGTGGGGAGAAGGATTGACTATCTGCGCTGCTTTGTCGTCCCGCATCAGGGTCCATGTCGGAGGTGTAAATGATGTAATAGTTGAGTGTACTTTTCTTCAAATGATTAGACGAAATGGTAGTGTAGTCCAACTCTATGTTTTCAATTTTGCCAAAGAGGGAAACGCATTTTATTATGAGCAAGCCAAAGGAAAGGAGGAAAATTGGGACCAAAAATTTGACCCAATAAAAGCTGGTATTGCAGAGGTCTTTTTTTATTTTTAGAAAGAGGGTTGGTTTAACGTACGTGCATAGGAAATTGGCCACACGCTTAATCATGTGTGGTTTTTTATTCTGCGCTTCGTAGGTTGGTTTCGTCATTCCATTTGTGTAGTTATACATTTTCTCCATCTGTTGTGTTCCCTTTCCGCAGTTGTCACCGTTGCCATCTGTCCCCTTAATAAGGATATCCCTGAGGTAGCTCCAATGAGGGGAAGCAGGAGCAGCAGCAGGAGGAGGAGGACGATCCAAAATGGCTAGCTTACTATTCAGCTCATTAAAATATCTGACGTTGTCAAAAAAAAGATAAAAGAGGGGATCCATTTTGATCAAGTTTCGAAGATCTTTATGTTGAACATTTTTCAAAAGACGTTTTTTCTCGTGATATGTGTAAATATAAATGTAGGTGTAGTAGATGTCAATTGTCTTTAGTTCGTAGGTAAGGATATTTCTGAACCGTTTTAATACATAGAGTAGCTTCTTTAACGATTCCGTCTCTTCTATTTTGTATGTACAGTACATGTGACTCGAGTTGAAAAAGATGAAACATGTTTTATTTTCTTCTCTAACGCTTTTTACAAAGTGGATAATGTTTTGCTTGATGGTCTCTGGGTTATTATTTGCTGCATTGGGATCTGTTAGGAATTCGAACAGGTTGTTTACACTCTGGCTGCTGTCCACATTGTCACTAACATTTTGGATGACGCCCATATGGTTGTCTCCATTTTGGCTGTACGCCCCCCCCACGTCACTAAAACGAACATTCAAAACGAACTTATAATCGATAAGCTTCTGAAACTGTCTTTTAGTTCCGTTGAAAATAATTTCCCCACTCTTAATAACTGCAATGTCGTTGGCAAAATTATTGGCTTCATATATATCATGGGTACAAATAAAAATGATATTATTTTTTTTAATTTTTTCAAAAAATTTAAAAAGCTTGGTCTTGGTCTTAATGTCCAATGCAATAAATGGCTCGTCCAAAATGTACACATCCCTCTTCACAAGAAAACAAATGAAGATGGAAATTTTTTTCTTCACATCATCAATCAAGTTTTTAATTTTGTGATTGAGATATTTTTCAAGATCTAAATCATTCATAATTTTTCGAGTTCTTTTTTTGTTCAAAAATTTGTCCACATCTTTGTTGTAGTAGAGGAGGAATATAACTATCGTTTCGTAAAAGGTGAGGTTATCGTATAGGATTACATTTTGGCTACAGTAGCTGATTTCTATTTCATGATTGCTTTGTGGTTTTGTTCTTCCCATGAGCCTCTGCAATGGGGAGAGGCCTTTTTGGCGTCGGTGTCCGCTAATGCCAAGGGTATTTGGACCCCTCTTGACGAAATGTATTTCCCCCGAGTCTTTTGTGATCATTTCCGTTATAATGTTAATGAGGGTAGATTTGCCTGAGCCGTTTTCCCCAAGCAGGACGAATATTCTGTTGCTGCGAAGGGTTAGCGAAACGTTTTTGAGGACATGTTTTCGGCCGTATGTCTTGTTCACATTTTTTATGACTAGGTAGCAATCGGGGGAGTGGTCCTTTTTGGTCGTAGGGCGGTGGCGTCCCAATTGGGTTGCCCTCGCCGCGCGGAGCGCCACCTGATTCTTCTTCCTCTGGCTCGTGTGATGTTGCTGCTGTTGCTGGCTGTGCTCGGGAGCGCCGCCGGTCAGCTCCACCATGTAGCAGTCTCCTTTACCGGATCCGGTTCGTCCCCTTGTCTGCATTTGGTGGGAACTTCCCCTCTTCAGGTAGAGCTTCCCCTGGCGGCGGTTGCGGTAGTGTATCATGTAGGTCAAAATGCAGGTCAAAAGGATGAAGGAAAACACAGAGTAGAACAAAAGGTGCATTAAACTAATATTCTCAAATTTAATAAACATCTCGGCGTAATTAATATGAATGCCATTCTTAACTAAAATAAAAATGAAATCTAACGCCAAACAAAAGGATGCATGAGGAATTAACAACACAAAGAAGGACAACACTGGTCCAACTCCAGAATGAATAATCAAACGAAAAGAAGAAAATAAAAAAAAAATTAAAAAAGAAGCAATGTAATTTATTGCATTATTCTCCGAGAAGTGCATGCACATAACTGTAAAGAGTAAGCTATTTACTATGAACATGTACATGTACAAAAATAAAAAGAAAAAATTGACCATCCTTTTGTAGACGTATACATATATAACGTAGCTGAAAAAAGTGTTATAAAAAAACAACACGATGAAGTAAAACAGGAGCCACGAAAAGTAATAATAGTATTTATTTATCTTCAAGCAAAATAAAAAATTCTCCATTTTGATCTTCCTCTCTTTGTTAATGTCAAAACATATATTTACTATGAAGAGACAGACACACAGAAACATGACCATGCGAAATATATTTTTTTCAATCGTGTCGAAGGCATTTATTTTCATACTCCTCATGGGCATGTTGAGGAGGAAGAAGTCGTTCAGGTGGAGCCAGGTGCCAGATGGGGTAGTGTCTGCGTCGGTGTGTCTTGCCGTGCCGGTGACAGTTGCCGTGCCAGTGCCAGTTGCCGTGTGGCGTGACGAGGTGTGTCCGGCCATCTGCGCATTATACTTGAGCATGAACAAGTTAAAGTGGTACTCCAACACAATGAAGAAGCTGCTGTAGTACCACTCATTAAAATACACATTTAAGGACAGATCATCGACCGTGTTAAAATTAACAAAATTCTGCTTCAGGTTTATGTTTATATCATTAAAGAAATAATTTTCGCTGGACGTCAACAGCGCATAATCTCCCACTCGAATTTTGTAACTCACATTTGTAATGACGTCTTTCTCACTTTGAAGGATTGCCTCATGGTTCGTTTCACCAATTGTCATGGCCATATCGTTATGGTTAATTAATTTTTCTATACTAGTATCATTATTGTAAATAGCCTTCTTAACTAGGTTCGTATCATCCGTACAGCTCGCTTCGTTTTCTCCTCCCTTGGCAGCGCCGGCCGGGCGCCCACTGGGCTTCTTCCCAAATACATAGGAGAAGCGCAACCGGTTCTGTTGTCCCAGGTGACTTACATTTTCAATACCAAGCATACCACATGCTTTGTTTGTCTCGATCAAGTTATTCTTCACGAAATTAAAAAAAAACAATTTTTTCCGGTCGTCCTTGAAGAAGGCATTGTGGCTGCTTTCGTCTTTCAATTTTTTAATATCCCTAATGAAGGATTTGTACAGCTCTGTTTTCTTTACCTCCCTCAGGGTCCCTTCATCTATTCGTAACTTTAGCAGCGTGTCATATTCGTTCTGTGGATGAACATCTCTGTATAGCTCCTCCAGGGTTATGGAGTTGCCCCGTTTCAAATTATTCTTAAAAGAGTGCACTAAGGGGGATAAATTCTCGCCTAGGTTTTCTCCATTATGTTTCCGGCTCGTGTTGGCAAAATCGCTTTCTTTAAGTTGAATGGCATACTTTAAATTCTGTAGACACTCCTCCTCACTTCTGTACACCCGAAAGACGTTCAGGTCGTTTTGTGTGGCGTAGCTGAGGAAGGCCCTGGAGAGATGGTCGTCCGGCGTCAGGCAGATGTGGTTCACGTACACGTTATCGCCGATTTCTCTGCGGGGGGGAAGCAAAATGGGGTAGAAGCAAAATGATTAGGGTAGCGGCATGGTTAGGGCAGCGGCATGGTTGTTGTAGCGAGCACCTCTCCTCATAGCACCCCGTGTAGACACAGGTTCCATTTCTCTTTTTGCGCGAGGCCTACCTGGAGCACAGCTGGTTGCTCAAAAATAAGACATACTGCCTTATGCTGTCGTTCAAATCTATTTTATCATGTTCGGAAAAGTTGTTGTAAATCTCGAGGGAGTCTGCGGTGACAGGAGCGAAGGGGTCAGGCGGTGATGAGGTGAAGCGGTCAGGTGGTGAAGGGGTTGAAGCGGCGTAGTGGTAACGGGTGACGGGGCAAGACGACCCGCCGCGCCTCACTACAACACTTACACTTGTCACTGGTATTCCTAAGGAACAAATGAAGTGATACTAACAGAAACGGAATCAACAAAAAGAAAAAGTAAAGAATAGAATCCTTTCTCTTTTCATAATACGTTTTTTTGATCAACCCGTATAGCTTACGGAGCTTCATCCTAAATTTGCATCACTGTCGTTATACTTCAAATGGGGTTAAGAATATAAGAAATTACGCACTAGGGACAAAAGAGTAGCATAAAAAAAAAAAAAAAAAAAAAAAGGGTCACCTAGCAAAGAGAAAAAATGGAATTGTCATCATATGCGTGGTGCGTACCGTACAGATGCAATTGCTCTTCATGGCAGCAAGAAAAGCTTTGGAGGGCAGCACAGGAGCATCTACCAAAAAAGTCACAGGTGCGCGTGTGTGCCGATAAAAGTTCATATGCCTACAACTACACGCACACATCTACTTGGCAAAAAACTTCTGTATGCTCACATCTACTCAGCAAACAAACATGTGCATGCGTGCATCTTTTACATGCAGAGACGGAGGAAAAGTCATTGAGGCATAACAACAGCCGCAAATGCATCATCATACAAAAAGCGGGAAATTTCAAAGCACATGTGGGTTTTTTTGTAGAGAACACTAGCAGGAAATCCAAAAGAGCATAAAGTTCTAATGGGATTTCCTCAACAACAGGAGGGCAAAACTTGCACGCGCAGGTTTATACTATAATATCTTATTGCATCTACCTGCGACGTGTGCTTTCTGCATATCTACTCAACACTTGTGACAAGCACTCATTTGAGTAACTTGAACAGGAACAAGCTATTGTTCGTACTTAAAAAAAAAAAAAAAAAAAAAAAACTATTATAAATGTAGTATATAAAATACGTAGTAAGTTAATCTAACGTTACAGTTGGATGAACTAACCTAAATTATAATCTAGGCTAGGATCTCAATAAGCCAAAATGAACCAAACACAGGGTCAATGACGAATAAAAAACGGAACAATTACTTGCTATATACTAACATAAAAAAAAAAAAGTTACAAAGGAAAGGGATTAAAACATTTTTTTTTTTTTTAATTACTGTTTATCATGTTTAATTAAAATTTTCCAAAAAAAATTAGCAAAACGACATGCAGTGAGGAAAAAAAAAAAAAAAAAAAAAAAAA